TGAGGAACCACTTCTGCAATGCTCTTATCGTGTTTGATGGTTATTGTGGTGTTTTTTTACCAAGGATGAGACCCATCAGAGAAGAACTGGATGTGAGATTGGAGTGGATGTGGATTTCACACCAGACAGATTCTGAAAATGAAGAAAAAGCCCTTTTTGCAAATGGAAGAAACAAACAGAAATTCATCACTCTGTTGGGGTCAAAAATTGAAAAAGAGGGGTTTTTAGATTAAACACTCATCCGGAGATGCTGACTATGACATTGCAATGTCTGCCTGTACATTGGCTCAAACACAGCCTGTGGTAGTGGTAGGGAATGATACCGACCTTCTCATCCTGTTGCAATATCACTTCAGACCAGATACCATGAGGCCATCTTTCTTCAGACAAGTACAAAGATCATTGACATCTTCATCCTACAGATGATCCTTGATCCTAATCTCAGCCATTCTTTGCTCTTTGTACATGCATTGTAAGGGACCGACACAACATCGAGGCCATATGGCATAGGGATGGTCTCAGGAATATTCAAAGGTTTTCATGGTGACAGGTGGAAACCATGCAGAAATCGAGCAGGCTGGTAATCAGGCACTTGCAATCCTCTACGGCTGTATGCCTGGCTTGGATTTGAATTCTGAACGTGTGAAAAAATTCACTGAGAAGGTATGTATCAAGCTCAAATTACCTACCCCTTGGACACCTTCCACCGACATCAGATGCTGCCAGATTGCCGAGCCAACTAGTCTGACTCCAAGTGCAGACCTGGCTAGGCAACAATATGGATGCGACAGAATGGGGCTGGACGCTTCACAAGAGCAACAAGGGCACTACATGTATATTGACACCAATCACAAGGCACCAGCTGTCACTCCTAAATTTCTGTTGAAAATAATCAGATACAATTGCACTGAAAATGTGATGAAAACACATGCTCATGCAGAAAATAATTGTCTACAATGTACCTAAGCATGTGGACAATGCAAAGGGATGACATGTTCAAATGGACCAAGTCATGACTTTTCTGACATTACTGAATAATCGTCTCTTCATGTCCAGTATATGAGTGTGAATATAAAGACTGTCTTGAACTTTAGACATTTAAACTGATGGTAAGTTTGACTTGTAAACTGTAGTATTGCAGGGTTATTCCCTCTTTATAAGCCCATGTTAAGTATTTTGTAGTCCGATATGGAACAATTGCATTTTTTTCACAATCGGGTAATTTATTTCTGTGTATGATTTCACTTCAAAATTGTTAAATTTATATTCCCCTGTCTTGATCCTATGAAGTTGATTATAAATAGAGTCATCATCCATGTTTAGATTTTTATTGATTCTTTTTTTTTTTACTTTTTTTATTTTGGTTTGTATTGATGGTGGCCATCTTGGATTTGACCTATTTTGGGTGTTTCCCCAAGTCAAATTTTGGTAAACTATTTTTTTTTTTAAAGTAGACCTATCCAGGTAGTGAAATGTGTTAAAAAACCTTTTCCGTCAATTTTGTTGAACCTTCGTGAAAAATAAACCTTTAATTACCGGACTAAAATGACGAGGGCGACGCCAAGTTTGTTTATAAACCATGAAAGTAGTCCCTACTTGACCTTTGATATTTGCATCTCTATCCGCATATGACCCCAAAGGATATCGTTTTTATCCGTTGGCTTTATCCTGCCGAGAAACCTACCCATTATATGATAAACTATATTTATGTTAAGCTTTTGTGTGGCCTTGGATGCGGTAACCCTGATCAAACAACTTTTGAGCAAGATTTGTATGACACTCTTAGAAATAAATAAGTTGTGAAATCTAGAAACCAAAGGCTTGAACTGCTGCACTATTGCTTGACATAAAGGGAAAGTTGAATTTTAATACCAAGGAAATATTACAAACTTTGTGAACTGAACATATTCGTTTTCTTCTAAAGGGTAGGCAAAGGGAGCTACCGACAAGATCAAGTCTAGTGTCTGTGGGCCAACCCACCTCCCTTCCGCTCTGAGAAGTTCTTTAAAATTAGGTTTGGTTCAGCTCATGGTATGGTGTCTCCCAACTGTGCCTACAGTCCAATTCTGCCTGCAGTAAAATTATGAAATGATATAGTCTGATGCTCAGAAAGTGATGCATGAGTGAACATGACTGTTACCTGTTTCACCTGTGACATGAGATAAACTGGTCCATACTGAGACAACAAAACAGTGGAGGCACAACAGGAAACACTTGTGAATTAAATTAAAAACACAACACATGATGAATGTCACAGATATATTATATTTATAAAATAACACTGAAGATAGTTTGGGCAATACTTTCACACTTAATCTATTAACCACAGGCAAATCATAGAAAGATATTGTCCAAATTTGATGAGATGAACAGCGGCATCTAGGAACTGCATGGGTGTCGTTCTTCCGGAGTCGAGATGGTCCTTCAGTCTCTGTTGTCCATTTCCCATGATGTGATACAGTGACGTTGTTGTTGTTGTTGTTGTTGCTGCTGTTGCTGTTGCTTTAAGTGTTTAAGAGGTCGCCTTCTGCCTTTGCAATTTCGGCTGACCTGTCCCTCTTTTGGGACTTATATGTGAGAAGGGTATTCACATATCTATTGCGAGTTTTGGTATTCATAGAATTTCTATTTTGGTATTGATATTGCCACAGTGTCACAGTCATAAGAAAGCTGCTATGGTCCGCGTAACACATGGCAATTCATCCTTCAAACTCTATTTGTAAAAGACGGAAAGCTTGAAAGCTATACACAGCTTCCTTCTTCACACATCCGAAATTTGGACAACATGGAGAGGTACGCATCCATGCAACTCTCCGCCATCCCCCTCTGCTTTTCTATTATAATATCAAAGTTGATTCCAATATTTCACAGAAGACGAGCGAAGAACAGTCGATCGCACTCTTACATTTGATGCCTAATAAATATAACCATGCAAAAGTGTAAATATATCTCGTACAGTTGTCAACGTAATCGTTTCCTTGGCACGAACAGAGTTTTAATATTTCGACACCTGCTAAAACTGTAAGCAAATCTAAATGAACATTTTAGTATATATTGCCATTTAATCTGTTTGGCCGATAACCTAGACAGATTATTCTCTGACAATTTTATTTTATATTTCCTATAGCGCGAACCTATCTAAAACAAAGGACAGGCAACAGGCATAACCTTTCATCAACAAAGGTCGTAAACCCTCTTCTTTCTCATAATAAGAATAAAGGAGTAAACATGCCAAACTAACGCCTTCCTAATTTTAGTTTACCAATCTATGAAATATGAAGTTGAAAAATGACAGAAATTTATAGATTTTCTATGTCTTAAAACATGTTTAGGGAGCTTTCGGGATGTCCATCTTTCAAAACAGATTTTGGAAGTGGACGTAAGAAGCTGTAGAGCTTTCAAGCTTTCTTTCTTTCAAAAAAAGAGTTTCATAGATGAATTGTGAAGAGCTACCCGGACTGTTCACTTCATCGTTAAAACTGAATGATAATTAGAAAAATATGTATATAAAAGCGACAACACCCTTTCAATATTAGTAAAATATCTGCCAAAAGCAGAGTCGATTGTACAATTTCGACTTTGTCATGAGCATGCGTCCATGAATCACTATCAGATAGTGATGATACCAGGTGTTCACGAAAAGGTGAGCATATCCTGCCCCACCCGCGGCACCTGTCACATACACATGCAAAAGCAAGTCAACCTTAAAGTCAAGCAAGTTACCTTAAAGTCAAGCAAGTCAACCTTAAAGTCAAGCAAGTTACCTTAAAGTCAAGCAAGTCAACCTTAAAGTCAAGCAAGTTACCTTAAAGTCAAGCAAGTCAACCTTAAAGTCAAGCAAGTTACCTTAAAGTCAAGCAAGTCAACCTTAAAGTCAAGCAAGTTACCTTAAAAATAACACACGGGAACATATGGTTCAAGTATAAATAGGAAACTGCGTCAAATATGGAAATGTCATCCACATGTCCACCCAAAAAAAGTTTTGAAAGTTTTACTGAGGCCCTGACTGTTTGATATTTTAACTTTGAAACCACTATCCCACATGACAAAGGTAAGGGGAAAAATCATTCCCTGTCCATGGGACCTTTGTTACTAAACGTGGTGATAATAGATCTAGTGATGTATTCAGAGGTTCAGGACAATTGTTAAAAATGAAAGCAAATGTCACCTGAAGACTTCCTCATTGATAACATCAATGAAAGATTAGGGTGTGAGACACCAATTGTGCTCCCTTCCTGCGGATCTGCGCAAATTCTGTTCGGATTGGCAAAACCAGAACAAGGTAACCTGGCCAAGAAATTTACTTCAGGTATGTCGATGATCTGACAACGTTTAAATAACCATCAAATAGCCAATTCCCGATCTCTGATTTACTCACTCGAACTAGAAACTCTGGAGACCAATGAGAACGCCTTATCTGTTTCATATTTAGATCTAAGCATAAAGATTCAGAGTGACAAATCACTCTCCTCATGACTGCATGACAAGAGGGATGACTTCAACTTTCCAATAGTCAACTTTACCTTTATGTGGAGCAATATTCCAGCAGCTACAGCTTATGGTGTTTACATTTCAAGCATGCTCTTCCTGCTCTTCCTGCGAAGATTTCAAAGAGCGTCATACAACTCTTGCTCAAAAGTTGACAAAAATGATGTCCGATTCAATTCCGTTTGAAATGGACCCATATGTAACACATACTCACGATATAGTCGTAATCGTACAATCAACTCTACTTTTAGCATCCCGACATGGGTACAATATGTGAAGCCTATTTCCCCCGCCGTGATATTGCTGGAGTATTGCTAAAAGCGGCGTAAAAACAAACTCACTCACTCACGCACTACTTTTAGCAGACATGTCTTGTGAATATAGAAAAAGGATTTGTCGCTTTTAGTTATTTGATGGCGAAAAAAGCTTAGTAGTAAGCAAAACGCGGTGTAATGCTTTGTTTCAAGCATAGACTGAATTCGGTACATTATCAAATCTCACACAACACACAATGCCAATAATATGCTTTTATTCAGTACCGACAATACATGGTGTCAAGAGAGTGTGATTTACTGATATGTTATAAAACATGGGGATTGCTAAAACAGGCAAATGTATTGGAATAGATTTCAGAATGCAGTCAGCAGTACATTTATCATGTGATAATATGGCAAAATGTACAAAAAGAATAAACAATGTTATGGTCCTTCATGTCTTATTCAACATTTTGAAATACTTTTTTTTACACAGCCAAATGTGTAAAGAATTCTATTCTACATTATATTTGTATGTCGTTTTCGATTCCGTTCCGTTCATTGTTTCACGGGGTTAATTAAGGATCCTGCTGAGACCCGTGTGTCCCAGTAAAGGAAGCCATTACATGGCATTTTAACGCCCGCCGTGTTTCCCCTAATTGTTTCCACCGTGGTTGCCATGGTTCCCTCCATGTTTTCCGTGTTGTCCATGGTTACCATGATTCCCTCCATGTTTTCCATGTTGTCCATGGTTACCATGATTCCCTCCACTTTTTCCGTGTTGTCCATGGTTACCATGATTCCCTCCACTCTTTCCATGTTGTCCTTGGTTACCATGATTCCCTCCCCTTTTTCCATGTTGTCCTTGGTTACCATGATTCCCTCCACTCTTTCTATGTTGTCCTTGGTTACCATGATTCCCTCCACTTTTTCCATGTTGTCCATGGTTCCCTCCACCTTTTCCATGGTTTTCATGGTTACCATGATTCCCTCCACTTTTTCCATGGTTTCCACCGTGGTTACCGTGGTGACCGTGCTTCCCTCCATGTTTTCCATGGTGACCGTGTTTCCCTCCATGGTTTTCTTGGTTTTCATATTCATGTTGTTGTTGATTGTTGTCATAGGCGTTCTCGTTCCCCTCTTCTTCATCGTTGTTACTACTGTCATCAACGCCACCGTCTTGCTCGTACACACCTGTTGAATACATGTGTGTTTTTAAATTCACTTGGCGATTGACATATTTGTCAAATGTTAACCTACGCTTTACCCACTACTGAGTTCCTTCAGAGGTGCTGGTGCATTATCCCATGTTGATCCGTATACCTCGTACCGGGAGATGGCCTGGTACATAAAAAGCGTAGGACACAAATCATTCACTCACTTTAAGACTGCCCCGTGACCATCCGGGGGAGAATAGATCTTCAGCAACCCATGCTTGCCGTAAAAGGCGACTATGCTTGTCGCAAGAGGCGACTAACTGGACCGTGTGGTCAGGCTCGCTGACTTGGTTGATGCATGTCATCGATCCCATTTGCGTGGATCGATGTTTATGAAATTAATCACTGGATTGTCTAGGTCAAGACTCGATTACTTACAGACCGCCGTCATATTACTGGAATATTGCTGTGTGGCGTTAAACAACAAACCAACCAACCAACTTTAAGACTTCTTTATGCTTCCAATGGCCAAAACGGTTTCAGAAACGTCAAAATGTACATGGAAACAACGGAATGTTGTTCTCGATATAAAAACAACGGAATGTTGTTCTCGATATAAAAACAACGGAATGTTGTTCTCGATATGTGAACTGAAAAGGGTTTGTATTCTTACAAGCGGGAGTAAACTTTGAAGTTTGCATGTTCACGATGTGTGTCACGACACGGGAACAAAGGACGTCGACATATATTTGACTTCATGATGATTCACCAACAATAAACTATTTGGGTGCTTCCTTGCAGTTCGGGTGTGGGTAGTGTATGGAAGAAGGGCATACATACTGTCGTCATACCACCCGTGTGACTGTATCAGCATCCCCAACATCACCATCAACAACAACGTGCACGTCTTCATCCTGACTGAAAGTAGGACATTAATCGTCAAAGACATGAATCGCTTTCTGTCACTGAAATTTACACTAATATTAAAGAATTGATGTAAGTTTACTTACATTAGTGAGGTTTGTGAGGTTTACAATCATAGATTTGCTATCTGAGGACTATCTGAACTTATGCTTTTCAATATGTTTAGTTCACAGAAAAAAAGGTCCTACGTGATAAGATCGACTTTGTCACCATTGCACGAATAAGATGGGCAAACACATTTTGGCTGCTGTAAAAAAATATTATTCACACTAATCATTGTATGACACTGATAATGTAAAGCTTATTAATCACCCTACATTTCATGATTGTTTGTCTTACCTGGACACTAATTGGTTTGTCGATTTCAAGAAATGTAAGGCACTTGCTAGACTCTCAGGGATGCCCCAGATACCTGCAATCATGGAACACATGACACGACATGACAAGCAATGTTAATCGTAGATTTGTTTTTTATTACGAACACAATTTCCTCTATGTATCGCGGCACATTTTGTTTATATAATATCCACTGCATGTTTTCTGTATTACTAATGTATGATGCTCGTTTATGAACATGAGAGTCCGGGGCTGGACTTCGCCCCTGGATTTCCCGGCCTGAGGCAATGACAGTCATGGAAGGAGAGAGATAAACGGAACCAAGTACTGAATCAGAAGCTCGGGTCCGATATCGAGATCGGCCATGATATCAACGTGATTCAGTTTCGAGACACATTATCTAAGCAAACACAAACAGGCGTATCGGTTTATCAAACTTTCAATTTACTTTTATTTCAATGTTCACTGTTTTCAATAGACAACACTTCAGATTAATAACTGCATTCAACGATTGTGGTTTGGGTAGCCTAGGCTAAGTTGTTAAAGCCTATTCTTGTTGTTTACAGCTGTGATATGTCTGGGAAAAGGCTAAACTTACCAGCACACGTACCCAAAAAAAAAGGAACATGTGAATTAACCTACCTGCAGTCCGAGCTGAGTGAATACGTTGAAAAAGAATGAAGGTTTAAATAGGCCGTAGAAACTGCACAATCGTCCTCATCCTCATTATGATTGGTCAACGTCAGCAAAAGTGTTTATGGTTGGTTACAGATGCAAACATGTTTCTGATTGATTAACACCCAAACAGCAACAGAACAACATTCTCCAGACTCATGACAAATCTAAGTGTCCATTACGCGATTGAGATCACATCATAGACCTCAGTGAGACCTTCTCGTCTGTTTCATATTTGCATCTATACATATAGATTCAGATCTTTTCACATACTAATGATAGAACACAGATTATACAGTGATCTAGAGCCTCTCAATACCTGGGCCAATAAATGGCTAGTTTAGTTTAACCCGGTAATAACAACATTGATATTGTTCACTCATTGCAATAATCGAGCTGCAGATAGTATTAATAACAATACGGCTCCTAGCGCATCTATCTCCAACAAACAGCTGGGCGTTACCCTCTCTCACGATATGATATTGACAGCCCACATTGACAATATTTGTCGCTCAGCTACCAAAATTATTTGTTCGTGAAGAATCGTCCTGTCCAGTATCTATCTCGTTTTTATAAGGCCTATATTAGAATATGCTTCAGAGGTATGGGATAACTGCAGTCAAGAAAATTCCGAAAAACTAGAAATGATTCAACTCGAAGCCGCTCGCATAGTAACATGTCTCCCTAAATTCTCATCAAGATCGAGTTTATATTTTGAGATAGGATGGGAAACACTATCTTACAGAAGGAAAAATAAAAAGCTTTGTACAATTTACAGTATTATTACTAATTTATGTCCATCGTATTTAGATGACACGTTACCCCTAAAGTATCAACTTTTAGTAGGTATGAGTTACGAAATAAGAACAATATGAATATGCCGCATGCACGAACAGCTACCTACCAGCATTCAATGATACCTTCTTCAATCAAACTGTGAAATGTGAATATGAATATGAAAATGAATACAGAAGTTTAATATCTGTGTCAAATTTTAAACAGATGATTTAAAAAATACTATTGCAGCTCCGCCTCAACACTTCTTAACCTAACATTATAACAGCTGGAACTACATTTACAATTCAAAATCGTGGTCTGGTGGTAGAGCGTCCGCCCGGAGAGCGGAAGGTCCGGGGTTCGATCCCTGGCCGCGTCATACCAAAAGACGTTAAAGATGGTACTTGTTGTTACTCTGTCTGGCGCTCGGCATTAAGGGGCTAAAACAAGGACTGGTCGGCTCGGAGTCAGTATACTGTGTCTGAGTGGGGTATCCATGTTAAACTGCGGCATGGTATCTCAGTGTGCTAGCACTATTAATCGGCATCAGTCCGGACTAGTACAAGCAGCCACACACACACGTGCATCCACGTCGCTATATAAGTGCATTAATCTTGGGCGCGACGTTAAACCCCATTTTACCTCACCTCACCTATAGCCGAAGGTCGCAATAATCTCATTTTCAACAGCGTTCAAAAATATATACTGTCAACTGATAGATTCGAGTAACTCTTTAGCATAATTCTTCGACCACTTATTATCAATCAGTGTACAAACTGCATGCATATATATGAATACAGGGGTATGTCTGCCTTTGATTTAAACATATTTTTTGCGGAAAATCAAATGGATTAGCCACAAGTGACACACTTACGAGGCCTTCTCCTATATACATTTCGTTACAATGTAATATGTGAATAATGATAGTGCAGAATAAATGTACAGTGCATAGGAATTATATATATAACTAATGAGAAAATATAATAACACACACATATACATATATATACAGTATTACACACAAACACATATACCTACATACACTCACACATACATATACAAGCGTATACATATATACATATGATAAATTTATAGTTTTTATATATTTTTGGTATACAATGGTACATTTGGGAAGGGGATATGATATATTATATAATAACAGTAGTTAATAGACTAATAGACATTTTACATTTATGCGTAGGGTGGAAATACAGAATATAACTAAACTGTGATAGTTACATTGAATGCTATTGTTTTACATCAAAAACAAAGTTATAACGAATACCAAAACTAATAGAATATATATATATATATATATATATATATATATATATATATATATATATATATATATATATATATATATATAACTATGACTTTTTGTATTGAAACAACCATGTATTAAATGTGCAGAATCAAGATAGTTTGGAAGTAGCTCATGAAATATAATTCTTGTTACATTAGATACAATTTAAAATCTGTTTTAAAATCTGTTTGTTACTACAGTGAATTGATGGACATATTCAAAAATGAAGTTATTTTGTTCTTCGGATATATTTTTGTTACCACTAAGAATTGTTTCTAAATTTGGCTGAGTCCCTATATTCCTAATGTTGATTAACAAAGACTTCTTATTAAAGAATATTTTTTACATTCAAGAAAATAGTGAAAAGCAGTTTCGCATGGGGAACCGCAAGAGCAAGAAATAGTGTCTGACAATTCAACCCTAAATAAATAATCCTTTAGATTGCTACATCTATGTTTAAGTGTTGTGTTGATAATATTAATTTGACGCTTTTCATAACTGAAATAATATTGAGATTTAATAATATTAGGATACATTTTTGTTTTTAATCCAGCTACAGAGATACTATTTTTAATATTTTCATTTTGTAAATTCCATTGTTTCAAAGAGTCTATTATAAATGATTTCTGAAATGTACTTGTTCTGGCAAAAGCTACAGTCATGTTCTGTTTGTTACGTAGCTTATAATTTGAAGCAGGTGATCTATTGTGGGGTCACAAATCATTTAGATATGAGGGACATTCATTTATTATTATTTTGTGCACTGGCATAAGTTTTTTAATTTTTCGTCTCTCTTTTCGTGGTAGCCAGCCGGTTTCGAAATATAAACTCTCTCTCCAGGCCAATTTGGTCAAATCTGTAACAATTCTGTCAGCGTCAAGTTGAATTAGTTCAAGTATATTTTCGTTATGAGCGGAACAGTTGTCCCATACCTCCGATGAGTATTCTGGAATAGGTCTCATAAATATCAGATAGATTTTTGACAGATTATATCTATTTAATTTATATTTAAGTTTACGTATAGCTGAAACCATTTTCGCTGTTGACGTAGCAATAATTGAAACATGTGCAGTCCATGTCGTATCTTGAGATAACGTGACTCCCAGATGTTTGTGAGTTTCTACATGTTCAGTGGCATGTCTGCCTCTGTCTGTAAGCATAATATATACGGGTATGTGAATGTCTGTACATGTTAGTGTAAGTATGTGTATGTGTTATATGTATGTATGAACATATGTATGTATGTATGTATGTATGTATGTATGTATGTATGTATGTATGTATGTATGTATGAGCGTATGTATGTGTATATGCGTGTGTATATGTATGTGTGTATGTCTATATGTATATATATATATATATGTGTGTGTGTGTGTGTGTGTGTATTATTTGTCAATAAAATATGTTTAAAACAAACAAACAAACAAGAATCAGAGCGACAAACACTCTCCACATCACTGTATGACTCGATGGATGGAATTTCCAAGTTTGATGAATCAGTGACAAACAGTATGTCCGATGCAATTCCATATTTTGTTTTTTCTGACTTGCTTTTGCATGTTGTATCATCTAATTAGTTCAAACTAGTTCAAATAAGGAATTGCATCGGACATCATTTTTGCCACTGATACTTAAAATTTGGCAATGTTCTCCAAATGTCACAACTGGAAAACACAATAGGTTTACAAGGTTCTTCGTTTTCCAATGAATGATGGCAATGCCGTAGTTTCGTTCTGTATACAAAACATTTCTGTTGTTTTATTCCCTTTTTATATGTAAATAGTAAATGTATCCCGAGGCAGTAATTACATAATTGAAGAAGAAATCATTATCGTTCATTTAATGGATAATATCACTGATACGATGACTTAAACATGGTATCACGATCCGAGAATTTGCACATGAGTAGAAGTTACTGTTATTAAGCTCCATACACCGATGTGATAAGTGCTTGCTTACCTAAGTATTGCCTTACCTTCCCAAACAGCTTAGATATAGATTTTCCGAAGTTTAAGAAATTATTTAAACAAACATGCCTGCAAATTATTTGGCATCATATCATAACTTTATTTAGTGAGTGAAACTCAACTTATTTGAAGAAAAACAAATGACAGAGAGATATTTACCCTCGATATGATAAAGAGATTATAACCCTCACGTGTTTCCGTAGATATCATATATTGTGAAACAAAAATATGTATTATGATATTTACAGTACGAAAAGACTATCAGATATGAATAATGTCTGTTTATGTATACTATGATTCATACACACCTGGTTGTCAATGTGTTGCGACATATACTTCATTGGCTGTCAAGGTAAAGCATGGGACCACG